CCATCGCCACCATCATCATCGTCATCGTCATCATCAACATCATCGTCATGATCCGCTCAGTGAGCCTGATCTGCCAGGAACCGAGATCCTTGTAGCTGTCGCCCCGCTCTCTCTCGCTCTCGCTGACTCTCCCTCTGTAGGCGAACTCGGAGCCACTGGTGGCCGAGCAGGCGCATGGAATTCTGGCCCCCGTTACACAATGGACACAATGCGCGGTTGCTGGGCTTTCTGTCGTTGTGGTGTCAGGGCAAGCCGATGGCATTCGGGCGTCGAGCAGTTTGGACCCACCTTTTATTTGAGCCCAAACACTTTTTTCTGACCCCCTCCCTTTTTTTCGACCCACGTCCTGTTTATTTGACATCCTTCCCATGCGCTGGTCCTCAGTCAGTTTCTTCCGACCCGCAAAATCTTTGTTGACTTCCAAAACCTGTTTATTCGACCGCCGATCCATGTTTTCCGCCCCTGGAAATGTCTCACTTACCCACGACCTCTTTTTTGACCCCCCTTCCGCCCCTGCCCTAGTACTACTACTACTACTACTACTACTACTACTACTACTACTGCTACTGCTACTACTACTACTACTACTACTACTACTACTACTACTACTACTACTACTACTACTACTACTGCGTCCACTGCGGCTGCTGCTGCTACTAGCGCTACTGCTACTGCTACTGCTAGAACAACAACAACCACTACTACCTACTACTACTACTACTACTACTACTACTACTACTACTACTACTACTACTAATACTACTATACTACGACTACGACTACGACTACGACTACGACTACGACTACGACTACTACTACGACTTCTACTACTAGTACTGCTACTATTATTAGTACTGCTGCCACTGCTACTACTGCTACTACTGCTACTACTACTACTACTGCTGCTACTACTACTGCTACTACTACTACTACTACTACTACTACTACTACTACTACTACTACTACTACTACTACTACTACTACTACTACTACTACTACTACTACTACTACTACTACTACTACTACTACTACTACTACTACTACTACTACTACTACTACTACTACTACTACTACTACTACTACTACTACTACTACTACTACTACTACTACTACTACTACTACTACTACTACTACTACTACTACTACTACTACTACTACTACTACTACTACTACTACTACTACTACTACTACTACTACTACTACTATTTTTCAATTTAACGCTGCGCGAGCGTGCTCTGCGCTTTGCGGGCGACTACTACTACTATTTTTCAATTTAACGCTGCGCGAGCGTGCTCTGCGCTTTGCGGGCGCCTTTGCTCCCATGCACTCGTGAGACATTCATGCTACTGCATCCATCGCTCTTGTTAACCTCTCAGAAATCAGCTCTACTAGAGTGAAAATCAAAAATTTTGTGCTTCCTCCGACACCTCAACAGTGAGCTGACGCGACCGTCGCTCACTTGCTCACAGCATTTGGGACGTACTCCAGAAGGAGCCGGCTCCCCGAGTTCCTGTCTAGTGGCGTCCCACACTAGGTAACTCATGCTGCCAGCAATAGGCCGTAAGGGCTCCGCGGATGCTGGAAGTACCTGCGATGTGACGGCCAAAGTCAACTGTCCGTGATTTGCAATGAGAGTGGTGACTGCTTGCGGCGAGCCGACTGTTTTCATCAAGGCTCATGTGCAGCAAGGCTTTGGCTTCTGAAAAGAGTGCATTGCAGTCAGAAGAAGCTACCTGCTGAGTCCCGGAGGCTGGGCCACGTGGGAAGCATGCGTGGCTGTGCCAGGCTGCTGTAGTGGTACAAGAAAACACTGTGGAGGCGGCCTGATCACTGATTTGGGCTCCGTGGCCACGTCTGGTAGGGATGGTAGTAACCACCCCAGTTCCACTGCTGCCACTGCCAGTCCCAGTCAGCATCGTATGATGGCTGAGCAGGCCGGGTCCACTGGCCTGAAGAAGAGGATGAGGGCGCACTGTCTCTTGGACGTTTGCCGTCTTGATCGGCATCTCTCGCTTGAGGTCGCTTGGCCGGGGCTGATGCTGTCTTGGGCGCCGACTTCTTGTCGTCCTCGGCTCCCTTGCTGTGCTCAATCTTCATCTTCAGGAGGGTGGTATGGGAGTCTCGAGTGGCCTTGACCCTGAACATGCGCGCTTGCACACCCGCCGATCTTGCTGCCTCATTGTAGACCGTCGAGATGGAGGTCGCGATCAAATTGAACTCGACCTTTGTGGGGAAGTGTCGCTGGAAGGAGGGTTCGTCCCATAGTCGGTTGAAGCAAGCATGGATGAGGCCGTGCACTTTGGTCGGCGCCTCAAGTTCGCAGTGTCAGCACACGACGGACCGACATTGCCAGGTGAGCCCTGGCTGGGTCTTGACATGTCTTGACCTTCTTGATGGCTTCAAAGAGCGGCGGCACTTTACTGAGAGCAGCCATGCGTGTGGACCACAGTGGTTGCTGCTCTTGGTTTGTCAAGCCTCCGAGGATGACTGGACTGACCACGATGTTGACGGTGGCGAGCGCTCGAATCCAGTCCTGAAGCGAGGAAAACCTAGCATCTGAACCAGCTCTTGCCTCGAGCAGGTGACCTCTTCAGTGGGAGCAGGCTGCGACACATAACTCACCTGTCGTGGGAGGCTCGTATGCCGAGTGAGGCCGCGACGCCGTGGGGTCGGAGGAAAGGTTGCATTCCTGCTGCTGTGGGCTTCTTTCAGAGGGTGTGGAGGGGTGGCAGCTGCTGGAATCACTGGGGAGCTGGTGCGGAGGCAGGGGAGCTAGGGGAGGAGGGCTGGGGCCTGCTGTTTTGCCTGCTCCTCCTTCAAGGCCACCTTTGGTTTCGGGGTGGAGGTGAAGGGGGACGCCGACCTTGTCGACTCCTTTAGTGCAGGTGGCGCCAATTTGGGAGGTGGAGGCTCTTAGTAGCAGCTGAAGGGCCAGCCGCCTGGCCCGGCCTGTGGCAGATCGTCATGCTTGGAGCTTCGGAAGTGGTTGCGGGTTCCGTGTCCTGTGCTGAACTGGATGTTGCGGTTGTGCGTAAAGCAGTTGCGACAACAAAGCCAAAGAGATCCTTCCACCTCCGTGGGGCCAAGGCCTCTTGGGATAAGCTCCAACACATCCTGCTCCGTGAGGTCTTGATTGTAGTAATGGGACTCGCGGACCGTCGCCATGATCGAGGCGAAGGTGTTGTCCCGGATCCCTTCTGCAACGTATGCTGTCATCTGGAGTTGGCGGTGGTGGGGCCGAAGTGGCCTTTGCCTGGGGCTGTGCCCGTGGCCCGGGGGTGGGCGCTGCTCCTGAACCTTCAGGAAAATGTCTGGGACCTGGCCCTGCAGCATGCGGTCCGTTCGCTCTTTGGTTGTGGGCCTGGAAGCCCGTCTGCCATTTCCAGCGAGTGAACGCAACCTTGGTGCGGTTCCGGCACACGAAGTAGCGACCATCATTTTTGTAAGTCTTGTCCTGCCGGGCTTTGTCCTGACATTCCTGGAGAAGGTAAATCGGCCCGTACGTCTTGGAGATGTTCCAGCCCGGCTGGGGGTCGTGGCCAAGGTCCCTGCCCAGGGTTTTTTGCAGAGGAACTTGCAGATCGAAAATCATGTAGTCCACATTCGCCTTGGCTGCGAAGACCTGCCGGCCAAACGCGTGTTGAATGGCCTCGCTCATCGAAGGATGGCGAGGCTTGCCATAGATGACGCCCTGAAAGATATGATCCTCCTTGACACCGATGGCCATGACCATGAATTCGTGCGGGAGCTGGCTAGGTGGGGAGGGACGGTGTCCCACTTCACATGCCTTAGTTGCTTGGGCTGTGCCCCAGTCTGCCGCCATGAGTTGCAGAACTCTTGTCCACGGTACGGCAAAGCCGCACTTGATGTCCACGTATAGTCCTCCGTGCTGGTAGTGATAGACGTAGCGACAGATGTCTGCTCGATGGGCCGGCTGCTTGAGGCGGTCGAGCAGATTGGAGCCGTAGGCCCCTGCTAGGCCCACCAACGTGGATCTCAGGACCTGGTCGTCACAGAACACTCGGGTGAATCCCGGGGACATCTTCTCGGCAAGACGTGCCGGTTCCGGCTTGTCGACGTGCACATACGTCTGGAATAGGATGTTTGGGGTCGGTGCCCGATCGAAGTGCGGTAGGTGTTGGAATGGGCTGCCCCAAAGTCCATGTCCGTACTGTGCCGCAACTCCGCAACCTCCGCGAGGTCACGAACTGTGCGGTATTTAGATAATGCCTGGGCTGCCAGCATTTCCACGCGCATGTCTTGTTGTCTGGCGTTCCATCCTGCAACTACCAGGATCGGCAGTCCTGGGGTATTTCGCATTTCTTCAATGGCCCTCGCCACCAAGGTGGAGATGACAAAGTCCGCCAGCTGAGGTTGGAAGAGGTGTACAGCTGGTCGATCTCTGGCAGCTGCGTTTTTGTCCGAGCACCAAGAAAGGCCCCAAGCAGGGGGGTGCCGCCGCTGTCGCAGCCATCGCCGCCATTCAAGCTGTCCGGAGGCGGTGCCACGTGGACGGAGTGTGGAGCTGTGCTCGACACTTGTGATTACCTACCAGAGCTGTCGATCAAGTTGGAATGTTCAATGACTGTTCTTCTAGGCAATCCCCAGACGTCCACTGAATTGCTGCGGTCATAGTCAAGCCGTTGCTGATTTGCCGCTGGCAGTACAGAGAGAGCTCGTGCATGCCTAAAACCCGAGTGGCACGCGTCGTTCCGGAACAGAGGGGGACTGCCGGCGACTGCAGCCTCGTGGAGCGGATGAGGCTGCCAGTGCCGCATGCTCTAGTGCAAACTGCAACGCTGCTCTGGTGCTCAAACAGCAGTAGTTTCGATGGCTCGCTGCGTGGTCCTCATCATCCGGTATCACTGATGTTGAGAAATGCAAAACAACAGAAAACTAACCAGTTCCTTCTCAGCAGGTGAGTGGCTGTGCCAGTCAGAAGAGAGGCAGTGCCACGTCCTACTAGCTTCGAAAAGCCTACTGAAACGCAGCTGGAACCTCTAGGAATAGCGCCAGTGAGCGTCTGGAATTTCATCGTCCCGACGTGTCGAGACGGCTTGTCCGAAGAGGCCCAATGGGTTCGTCAACGTGTTCACCACGATGTTGTGCTTCTGCTCTATCGGAATAATAATCTCCTCGTTGGCAAGGAGTTGCTGTGGCTCCGAGAACACCTGTACCATGACCGTCGTATTGTGCTGCATGGCCAGACGTGCAGTGCGCCCGCTATTGACATAGGGCTTTAACTGGACTAGCGGGAGCACGGCCCGGTACCAAGTGCGGCACACCGAGGCGGCGGAGATGGCAACCAAGAGATCCGGATGTAGAACCCCGACCCGAACATGCACCCCCTGCCTATCAAAGTCGACGTCACAGTAGCGTTGGTCAAAGATCGCGGTGCTCACGAAAGCGAAGCGATATGCCCATAGTTGAGCGGCCGCGCGACTTCATCCTTCAGGAGGTATATCTCCTGCATGGCTTGATCGGTACCATACCTTGCGGGATCCTCGTCAATGGCCACAAAATCAAGCCCTTCTGCAGAGTAGAAATCAACGATGATAGCTGTTGGGATGACGAATGAGAGTGCTCGGCGGCAGGACTCCGCGCAGGTGGTGAAAGACATACGGAGGGAAGCAAAACTAGAGGAGCTGGCCGGCTGTTGACGGTAGCAGCTGCTGTGGAATATCAGAATTTAGAGCGGGCTATGCAGAAGCATCACCGGAATGTAGTCCGCTAAGCTCGACTGTATAATAAGGGCCTCGCGCGAGATCAGTCGTGTTCGCTGGGTCTTGACCTCGATGAGGGCTCCTCTACCCAGTCTGCGGAAGTGGAGATAGGCGCGCCAGATGCCGATCCATGGCTTCTCTGAGAGCAAAGAGACGATTTCGCGGCACCACGTGCGACTGACCGATGCTAGCTGGATTGCTAGCAAAAGGTCCGGATTCACAATTCCCATCTGAGCATGGACGCCGAGGTGGTCCACCTTGATGGAGTTGCCGATGATGGAGTATTGCTAGAATCGGCTGGAGTTGGCCCACCGGAGAAGGGAGTCCTGCAATTTTCACTCGAGCCTCGTAGGCATCCTCATACATAGCGACAATGTCCTCGATGTCTGGGCTAGCCGAGTCGTCGTAGAAATCAAGTAACAGGACGCCCGGAATCAGGTTGACCATGACATACCTAAGAGAGGCACCTTGGCAAGGGCCTGCCATGCTGCTCTGGGACTGGTCTAACCTGTGCCGAGAGGAAAATGCTTCCTGAAAGAGAGATACTAAAAAACAGAGAGCACCACATATGCGCGTGGGGGCTCTTGGGGACTCCTTTGACCGTGCTGTGACTCTTCGGCAGAGGCAGTGCCACGGGCCAGTCTGTGCGCTGTGCGCCGTGTTACTGCTCTACATCAACACTATAGGGATGCACTATGGCTGATCAGGCGTCTGCCTTCGGCTCAGTTGTCGCTCCATGGTGTGAACCGCATCGTAGGCATCAAACAGGTGAGCGTGCCACGGGTTGAAGGCGGAAGGACGGAAGGTAGTGGAAGAGCTAGGCCGTGTCCCCATTGCTTCGCGATCATCAGGGTCTGGACACTCGGTGACAAGCTTCCCTAGAGGGGAAGACAAGTTCTCCACTGGTAGGCGAAAGGCCATGGAGGAAGGGAGACGAAATGCATCGACGCCCTCTTGCACAGAGACAGTTCCTGGTTTTTGTAGTCTCGACATAGCAACGAGAAGCTGCCCGGTGTTGATTCTGGACATGCCGGAGATAGACAAGGCTACTTGTCTGTGCCACATCGAGTTCACCGCTGCCAAACGCCGTACTTGTAGTAATCGTGGTTGGATGATGCTGTAGGCGAAATGTAGGCCTTTTTCATCTGGGCCGGTCGGAGAGGCGGCTGGTGGTGCTTGAAATTCAGGCCAATCACCGAAACGTGCTCTGCATCTCCTGGCGTGCTCCAGCCAGTGCCAGCGCCGTGTTCCCCGAGAGTGGCGTGGGTCCGGGTCCAGGGCAGAGACTGGCAGACAGAAGTCAAGGTGAAGGCGCATGGGCGTTAAGTAGAGGTAGATGCGCTGCACAATGTCTCCTTCTGCGGTTGCATACATGGTTGCGATGGAGGAAGTCACCTGAGCCTTTGGCGAGCTCCATGGGCGCGAGAACAGGGGCACACACAATGTAAGACTGGAACCGATGAATGGAAGAAGCATTAGAGACTCTTGAAGCTCTCCGCGCGTCAACTTCAGTTCGCAAGAGACTGTGTCTCAGTAAGTGAGGCAGTGCCACGTCCTAAGCTGCAGGTCTGAGGGTGGCACCGGAGCAGTCTCAGCAGATTGGCTGCCGGTAGGAAGCCGGAGCCTAGCTCACGCAGGCGCTGCTGGAGCAACACCGAGCAATTCTCAGAACCCTTAACCGTGTACGCCGCAATGACGACGCGGTTGAAGGTCGCCCACGGTAAAGTGGCGTGCCAAAGTTTGTCAGCCCTGAAAGCAACGCATTGTCCTCGGAGATCGAAGCTGCTGCCTAGAACCATGCGCTCGTGCTGAGGAACCTCCTGGTAGTCCTCCCCGTCTGGATCCTCAATCCATATTCCTCCGTCATCGCATAGTGAGAGTGGAACCAGCAAGGTCCCGTTTTGAGCGTTTCGAGTGTCCCTGTGAGGCGGGGACAGTACATCAACCAGGATTTCAAGGGACGACCATTTGTGCATAGGATGACATTGGCCAATGAAGGCGTTGAGGAGCTTGGTGACGTTAGGGTGTGTCAGGGTCTCCTTCAAAAGTCCAGGAAGCACTCTTTGGAAAGCGAAAAGGCTGAATGTTTGGCCTGCCTCCTGTCTTTCCGCTGCAAGAGGCCTTTGTGTCCACCGAGCGCTTGGTTCGTACGACAGGTGCTGAAGAACGCGTCGAACAGAAGTCCATAGGGAGAGACTCTGTGAGTCCAGGCAGTCCCGAGCTTTACGTTCGGCCTGAGAGGTTAAGGGTGTACTCAGGATCCGTTCCGGCCACATGTCCACATCGGACATGTGAGTGGACATGGTGGTTATGGAGTCAATGTACTGCTCAAAGCGTTGCCAGTGGAGTGGCGGAAGGGCCTGGGCTGCCCAAGCCGTGATGTCATTCGTTGGCCAAGTACCTGCAGCCGGTGGGAGGGAGATGCCTGCATCCTCGCAGTACAACTTCAGCGCCGAAAGGGCAAGGAAATCGTCCATGTAGTCAGCAAAGATGGCCAGCGGGAAGGGAATCGTCTGTATGTCATTCTGCGTCGTCTCCATCAGTGCCATGATGCACAATGTGCTGAGCCACCACAGACTTAGGCAACCTCTGACGAACAATGTACAAACTGGGCTAGAGCATGCAGCGCAAGCCTTTAGCATCAGTGAGCACTGACATCAAGAACGTCAGGGGCTGTGCCTCAGAGGCGATTCCTGCCAGCTTCCTCCCGGAAAGGCTGATTCAGGCCATGGGGGCGGTGTCACGTTGGCCAGCGACACCCACCTACACAGCCCAACGTAGGCATTCTTAAGCTTGCGTGCGAGAACACATTTTGCGTGCGCGAGAGTGTACATATTGTGCGAACACGAGAAATTGGCCAGGGCATCCGAAAACCAACATCCGGTGCAATTGCATGCCAAATGCATACATTCTTGGTGCGCATGTGTTGCAAAGGAGCTGCATTGGACAGAAAGTTAAGAGAAATCCAAGACGGATACTACAGTATGCCTTTTTTGCTGCCTTTTCTGAGCACGACTCAGAAAAGGCAGCAAAAATTCAATATGTATACGTAATACCCTTAATCCCAAACCCAAAACCACGAGAAAAAAAACGTAACCCGAAACCCTAAACCCCAGAAAACCCTTAATCCCAAGCCGAAGACTCTAAAACCCTTAATCCCAGCGACGTCCCCAAAAAAATAACCTTAACCCTCAACCAAAAAATCCTTAATCCGAAAACCCGAAACACCGAAAGTCCTGATTCCGAAATCCAAGGGCTTTATGGGCTGTGGGAGGGTTTCGATTGATCTTGGGCCGAGGTTTCCGAATTTCGGATTTAAGGATGGGCTTGGCTCGAGGCTGCGGTTCTAGATCCCGGAAAAGGTAACATGACTGGTATAACTAGAATCCGGTACACACACCAAACGATCATTATAGTCGAGCTCGATTTGGGATTGAACTTTGGTCGGTAGTCGTATATAGCTTCGGTTTCCTATGCTGGCCAACCCGAAATAAATTTCCCCTTACAACCTTCTAAGCTAGAGCGGCCCTATACGTAAACACCACCCATGCATCCTATTCAAAGTAAACCTCGGATCGAGGTACCTGGCGTGTGGTGCCTAACACTGGTTGTGTGTGTACTCTTTTCGGATATTGGGGTCTAGGTTTTTTTCGGGGTGCAAGGCCCGGAAACTGCCTGAAGGCAGGTCTACATTACCCTGTCCCCCAAAGCCGGAAACCCTTAAGCAATCAACGGCCGTCTCCACAAATATATGAGCGCTTGCCACTCCCGAATCAATCCTCAAATCCTTGAAGTCCCAAGCCCGAAATCCTGCAGCCCCTAAGCTTTGGATACTGCCCCCACTCAGCAACAGTTGAAGAATATTTTCAACATAGATATAAATCGATGTATTTGGCCCTTAATAAATAGACCGTTGCTGTATGGGAGCAGTATCCAACCGAAACACTTAAAGACGCTTGACCACAAAGAGTTCCTGGCCGACATTTTGCTTGGTCGCCCGGGCTCCCAGCTGGCAGTCAACTCCGAAAGCATTCGGGCCCTTAATTTATCTTGAGGTTTAGCTTATCTTCAGGTTAGGGCTATAGTAGGGTATCTCACTTTAAGGGCATTCCGGCCTTTTCAAAGATACCTGTGAGGATTCTTGGCCTGCTCGTGAGGCCCTAGACCCCCACTTTCCAACAATGCCCGATAGCGAAGCAATGTCACACTTGCCATAGTTCGTGCATGTGTCCGCGATGCTATACGGCCAATTTCTTTCATAAAATCTTCCTCCATGTAGAGGTGGTCGTAGCGAGGGTTTCTTCGTTCCAACGGCAACCGCAGGCACATGTGCAACATCACATGAAACTTCGGGACAAGCTTGTACAAGACTCGGCAGTTTCTCTTCGCCTGCACTGCCGCATACTGGTAGAGCAGCAGAAATTTGTGCCCGTGCCATGCCATCTGTATTGTTGCTTGGTCATCAAGCCACGGCCCATTGCAATCCTGCACGTACTGGAACTGTGCCATGTTGTAGGAAAGGTGTGCCCTCAGGACAAACCCTGCTTGATTTTCCTGCTTGCGTTCGAACAGAAAAGATCCAACCCAATACAACATAGCCTTGATAACAGCAGCCTTGTAGCACGATGCCATTTCTGGCTGCTTTTGCCAATTTTCCCGTCCAAGTTTGATCAAAGAAAATTGCATGCTGCAGCTCGCACCCACTGCTTGTAGTGTGGCCAGGCATCAGTTTGCAACAATTCCTCGAGCTGCTTCAATGTGAGTTTGTGCTCGTGTAGCTCCTCGTAGTGGTCCGAAAGCAAGGATGCGATCAACAAAGGGCCAATGCCCTGATGTACCACATGCAGCATATCCTGGGGAGGCGGTTTGTGCGTGTAACATCCTTGTGCATATGTTTCCAAAAACAGAGCGACACCAAAACGAACATTAGACTACAGACAAAAGCTAAAACAATCCTTGCATGTGCATGGTACATCGAGATTTCTGTCTTTTGTCCAGCCAGGGACGTTGATCCATGAAGACTGGCGATGCGCAGGGTTCAGCTCCAAAAACTCATCATGAGTAAACATGAACTGCAGGTAGGAAGCTCCGTCACTGAAGTCACCATAGCTCAGTTCTGGCAACTTCGAAGCAAGACAATGCTCACAGATGCTGTTGCAACTCCAGTTCCTCACCATTTTGTGAACCATCGCCCGAGCCTCCAGATCTGCTTTGAAAGCAGCGAAGCATGCACGCCAACCTCCGGCGAAGGGCTGGCCAGCTCTCTTCGATTCCAAACTGTTCGATGGCCAGGGAGCACCATCCCACTGAACGTCAGGAAACATACCTGTCATGAGCACGCGCATCACATAAGCGATAATGACCCCAACTTCGTCGTGGGTGTCAGGCTTCATCATTTCCTGTTCCCGGAACAAAAGGAATAACAGCTTCGTGTCGATCGAAGGCCCTTTGCGGGTGCAGCAGCCAAAACTATACACCCATGCTTTCTGCGACCGATACACCTTTACCCCGTCCACATGCCAGGAAAGCGGAATACAGTGCGGCCAGTCTTCCTCCCGAATCCCCAGTTTTGGGTAAAAGTCCAGGTGCTGCACATTTCGCCAATACTCCTCGTTGCAAGTAAAGGACTTCGATAGCCGGCTGCAAAACCCCTGAAACCAGCAGACCCTTTAGCTAAAACCCATCTACCCAAGCTAGTGTCCTTGATGTGGAAAGATGCACGTTCCGGCGGGTCATAAAGCCACATGCCCAATTTGTCATTGGTGTAGAGGTAATTGAGGATGTCCCAGGGCCAGAGAACCGCATGGTTTTTTCGTGTGCCACCCTCGTCGGTTTTCAAAGTGAGCTGTATTTGGCCAGGCTGAATTCGGCAACGCTGCTTGCACCACCTATAGGGCCCAATTTGGAAGGCAGCTGATATTACGGGCAGATATAAACCTAGAATACTACAGCAACTGCATGGTTTATAATCACTTAAAAATACAATGCGCGTGCGGCCACAGTACGTTTGAAAGGATCTTTCACCGTGTTCAGTCTTGCCCCATGAAGCCATAAGCTCCGCAAGGGGGCAAGTTGACCCATCCAGCAGCATAGCTGCTGCATCCCTGCAACCATCAGCCACCGTGAGCGCCTGAGGGGGAAGCGAAGGAGGTTCGGTCTCGCACACGACACAGAATCATGTTAAAGCATGCAAAGTTTCGCAACAACGCACCCCGGAGCAGATCTTCCTGAAAGTCCGCAATGAAGCAGCACCGGCATTCGCCACCGCCCACATCCCTGCATGAAAATCAGGCACAAAACTTTTGGTGTGATACAAGTTTACCGACCCAAACTTGCCCCTGCATGCATGCATGCCATATGCCTTCTCGACGTTTGGCTGCGTGGCGTACCGCTTGCAGTCTGGGTGCTGAGTGTGGCCGTCGATAGCCTGCAGCGGTCGGACTGTATAGGCTTGCCTTATGTTTTTTGTTTGCGTAGGCGTCGTTCGAATTTATCGGGAATCGGTGAAATGATCCCATACAAAATCCCGTCTGGAGGAAGATTCTTACATTTTCCAATGCAGTTCTTCAGGGGTATATAAGTGGCCCGTAGAAACCTATATCACATGCATGTATGCTACACACTATCTTGTCACTTATAACCAGAGGAACTGCATTGGACAAGTATTTTGTAAGTCCTAGAGCTACGATCGTTCTTACGGGCCCCGGGGAGCCTCGGAGCTTCTGTTGCTGAGGGCTGAGGGTTGTTGCCTGGGCTTTTGGGTATACGGTTTAGTGGCTATATCAGATCGATCCGTCATCATACTTCAGCATCATCATCATATATTGTCATCATCATATCATCAGATTTCATGGTCATCATCGGCATCATCTATGTGACATTGGCTGCAGCAGGTAGCAGCATCATTGGAGATCGATGCTGGCACCGCATCATCTTTTATGGGTCTCAGGTTCAGGTTTAAGTTGACGTAGCTTTTCAAGGTGTGGAATTGTGTGATGAGGATGATGATCCCTATAGTGCAGATATCGACCACTGAGGCTGGCCGGGGTGGATGATGGTGGCATGCATGGTGATGCAGGAATGCATGATGATTCTGATGATGATGATGTTACCTTTGCTGATCAGGATAGGACCACAGCCAATCCCATTCCAAAGACATACACCCTACTCTGCCAACCCCAAATCCCAAAGACCTCCGAAACCCGAAAACCGTTAACCCCCGAGCTTAAACCCGATAAGCCTATAAGCCCCACTAGCTTCAAAGCCTCAAAGGCTCGAAGAGAACAGGAATAAGACTAGCCCAAAAAAATAGTATTGCATACAAACAAGCGGAATTAGCTCCGCGGATCCAGCCACTCAACCTAACAACCCTAAAAGCCCTAAGCCCCGAACCCTTAAATGACAAGCCCTCTCCCCGGGCCCAAGGTTTTCGCTTCTACGGGTATATAGGCTTTAGGGGATTTTGGCTTCGCAAAGGGGTCTGCTGCTATGGTTTCGGCCGAGGACTCTGAGAGCTGGAGGCAGCACCATTCGTGGTCCCAGCGCGGGACCGAGAGCGAGATCTCGATGCAGACCTGACGGGGGGGAGGGCCGAAAGGATCTTAAGCTCTATAAGCGACCACAAAGATAGTTTGCAGGCAGGCATCGATCATGCAGGGATTTTTGGCCACGCGTGAGTCGCATGAGTTCTCGATCGTTTCGGCGCGATATGCACACAAACCTAAAGCAGCTCTGGTTCTAGGCTTTGCGCCCGGATTGCACCCCTTGCTGCTGTGGAAGCCACAGCTGGCGCAATCCCATGTACAACCGGGGTGATCTAGACCTTTCCTCGGACTGCTATGCCTGCGTGTTCGGATGTACGATAAGTTAAAATCATCGCTTGGGTCAGCCGGCATTCGAGGTCGAGGGAGCAGAAGTTGTTGCTAAAGTCAATGCACCTTTCAACCCGAAGCCTCAAAATCCCAGGCCCTATACTTTCCGTCGACCTCACTTAGCCGACCCAGGCGACTGCGCTGTGACAGTGCCGTTCGCGACAGCCTTTGCTTTGGCCTTGGGCTTGGCAGTGCTGGCTCGCACCAGGGCTTTAGCCAAAGAGATTCTTCGTTCGGCCACCTTACTCAGATCGTCAGCCTCCAGGGATGAAGGCTTTCTGGGGTTGGGTTTTGGGGTTTAGGGTTTATACAGCTTCGGCCGGGTGTATTAAAGAGGGGTTGGGGTTTGGGGATGCTGAGGTGAGCTTTCTAGCAGGGTGATTAATTATAAGGGTTGAGGATGCTCAGGTGAGATTGAAACATCTTTTGAGTTGCTACGGATTAGGGGTCTCCGGCCGCTGACCTCCTTGCACACGTGCACATAGTACTTGTTCTTGTTCTTCTTCTTGTTCGTCAGCTGCTGGATCCGAGCCGCCACATCTGTCAGCTTCGCGCTGACTTCTTCCAACTGCTTGATGAAGGTTGAGCTCATTTGGATGGGGCGTAGCTTGAAGGCCCAGGTCCTTGTTCAACCATGCAGGAAGCAGTTCTAGATCTTATCAGTATCAGCACGCAATGTCACATCGATCAACACGATAAGTCTCAGGCGTACAGTCGCCCGAATCTTTCAATGTTTTGCTCATGCGGGCTTCGGCTTTTTGCAATGGGGTCTTGGGCTCCACCTTCAGCCGCGCAGACATACTGTGCAAAGAATAACAAACACCCGAAACTTCTGCAAGACAACCCGGATAAGCGATAAGCCTGCCTTTTTTTCAGCCTCCGGTGTGGTATTGTTCTTCTGGTTCTTGGTGTTTTTCTTGGGTGTCACTGTGCAATTGCCCGCGGCTCTTTGCATCAACTGACCCCCGTTGAGCGGAGCTCCGGAGCCAAAGTCCACGAGCTTCAGGACCATGGCGGGATCGAGGATGCCACCGCCCTGCCGGACTATGTCAACGAGCCGCTTTCGGGGGTTGAAGGTTTTGGGTTTTCTAGGTATATACTGGATATATAGAGAGATAGGTATATACGTAATATATATATATATATATATTTATATATTAGAAGCTGCACCCGCCCTGTAATAGTGGTATAATAGGAATATAATAGGGCCCTAATATAATCCTATATAATCCTTATGGTCACTATTACAGGGTGGGGGCAGCTTCTAATATACATATATATATATATATATACAGTAGAAGCCGGAAAGTTGGAACATGGTTTTAGGAGGATTAGTGCTAGGATCCCTTATACTTTACCTTAAGGACATGAGGAAAATGACGTTCCAACTTTCTGGCTTCTACTGTATATATATATATATATATATATGTCGATCACGGTTAGGGGCCTGTATTAGATAGACCGAAGAAATAATACCATTGCAGTTGCTGGGATCAGGGCCGGGATTCTGCTTGAGGCTATTAAGCCCCAAATAGACAGAGTTAATCGTAACCATAAGTTCAGATCCAGTCTCTAATCCCTCTTATAAATCGACCTGAAATTCGGCTTGAGGCTAAGACTGCCCGTGGATTTTCCGTCATTCGGCCAGAAAAGCAATAGGTGTGAGATAGGCTTTAAGGTTTACACAGGGTTTAGGGTTTAAGTTGATGCTCGAAAGATCTACCTTATGGATTCTTATGCCGTCGACACTACCATCGAAACCTTAAGGGTGTGTGCCTTCACGAACTCTTTCAAACCTTCCTTGTCGATCCCACCCTTCATCTCCAGCTGGGTAATCCTTGCAACCTCCTGGATGTTAGCGAAATCCATCTCCAACAGCACGAAGTAAAGCACTTCCCCACTGTCAGCAGGGAGCTCAGGATCAGGAATCGTCCTGATTTGGGGCCAAGGGTGTTGGAGGGGATTGATAATTCAGGCTAGCTGGGTTGCGGTATTTGTGCGTATCATAATACGTGCATGCATGCAAGCCAGCATAACGTACCACGGGGTCAGTTTTCCTATTCAACCTGCGACCCGCGAAGGCAGGCAATGTACCTAGGGTGTATACAGACGATTTAGGGTTTCTGGTTTCGGAATAGATGGGGTTATGGTGGTATTAAGCCGAAGTCTACGGTGAAAGAATCCCAGCAGCCCAGAAATCATCCCGAGCCGCGTTTCCTAGTCATAAGAAATCGCAATTGCAGATCCCCCATAAGCCAACCCACGACAAATTGCATAAGAGTGTCAAGCCCAGCGCCTTCTTGCGCTCCATCAGCTTCTCTGCTTTCCGATCGCCGCGGCGATCCTGAAGCCACTTCTCCGGGCGGAAGCCCCACTTCACGGTTGATGACTCCTTGTCCTCCACACGGGCTTCAAACCTTAGCACGGTTTGCTCCGTATCGCCATCGCACTCGAGGTAGTCCGCGAAGAGCTTGCTACGCCCGTCCTGTATGTAGCATCAGACATGCATGCATACATACATATTACATATACATACACTATATACACATAAATATGCACACATATACACATGTGCATACATATACATACATACATGCATACGTATACATGAATCTACAGACAAAAAGGAGTCTGCCTGCGTACATATTTATTTTGTATGTATCAGTGCTGCGGTGTGCAACACAGACACATGCATGCATGCACCTATATACCCCCCATATGATATCAAGATAAATAGTTACGTATATGACTGCAAGAAATCGACGGCATATGTGTGCACATGCATGTCTCTGTGGCATCTAAACTATATATGTCAACGCTTTGATTCATGAAGCTGTCCTGGGTCTGAACCGTGCTCAGAAGCTTTGCTGGAAACCTCTTTTTGGACTTCGTCCATCTCTTGAAGCGCATGTACTCTTTCCTGTGGCTGGAGCTGTTGGGCACGGCCAAGGCTTTTTTCTCAGCGCTGGCCAAACCGCCTTTCTCGTCCTCCTCCGCTTCCTGGTCGGACGACGCCTCCCTGTCCTTGCTTGCCTTTTTCTCCTTCTTTTCCTTCTTCTCACCGTCCTTGCGTACCTTCTCCTCTTTTGTGGCCTCCTTGTCGCCCTGTTTGTTTCGCTTCTCCTCTTTGGTCGTCAGCTTCTCAGCAGTCTTGTCTCGCTTGCCGTCTTTGGTGGTGTCCTCGCTCGTCTTGTCTCGCTTGCCGTCTTTGGTGGTCCCCTTCTCGGCAGTCTTGTCTCGCTTCTCCTCTTTGGTGGTCTCGGCAATCTTGTGTCGCTTCTCCTCTTTGGTGGTCTCCTTCTCGGCCGTCTTGTGTCGCTTCTCGTCGGCGGTGGTCTGCTTCTCGGCAGTCTTGTGTCGCGTCTCCTCCTTGGTGGTCTTCGTCTCGGTCGTTGTGCGTCGCTTGTCGCCGTTGATCGTCTCCCGATGGGACTGCTTCTGTCGCTTTTCCTCTTTGGTCTTCTCCTTCTCGGTCGTCTTTGTGGGCTTCCTGTTCGCCTCGGCTTCGCTCTCGGACTCGCTGTCGTCGCTGGCGGCAGCAGCAGCCGTCTTGATTTTTTTGGCCTAGGCTCGTGAATGCTAGTATCATAGTGCAGGAGGATTACACCGGTTTATTGCGCTTCCATTCCCAGGCGGGGTGCATAGCCGTTAACCGACACGGGCGTGGGGCTTTAAATATACACAGGACCTCCAAGCTTCAGCAGTTTAGCTTCTCCCGGGCTTAAAGAGGAAAAACTTTTCCGAAAGGAATCTTTCTGTCAGGCTGCATGGGGCTTCTCGGGAGATCCACGTGCATGGGCTTTGGTGCCGCGGGGCGTCGTCGGCTCGATGTCGTCCTAGACAGTGATCGAAAAATTTAGGGGGCCAAGAAATCGTGGGAACAGAGAGATTCCATGGAAGGGTTTAGGGACGGGGAGAGAGAGTGGGGAGAGGGTTAGAGAAAGACAGAAAAAGACTCGGGAAGAGAGAGATAAAGTTAATCCAAAAGACACAGGTAATTTTCTTTGTAGATATATATATATAATGTATAAGATCCAGGTATATGTCTGAACCCCTGCCGTTAGTTGTGCTCGGAGCACGATTGAACAGGAAGAGCGAAAGCCTAAATGAGTGGATCTATACGCAAAAGCTAGCCCGGCCTCCTCGGAGCTCGGTGGCTCTGAGCCGGAGGTTAAGCCTTCATCAGAATCCAACGCGCTGCTCGAGCATTCGGACTCGTCGATCTCGCTGCCATCCGTCGTATCCCCGGGCTCGCTTGCTCCCGATTCTGCCGCCGGTGCCGAATCCACTTCGGAATCCTTTGCTGGATCCTCCTGCTCGCTTGCCTCGCCATTCGATCTTTGCTCTTCATCCTCACTTTCCTCTGAAGCTTCATCCCCAGAGCAGGCTTGCTCCTCATCCGGTTCGCTCGCGCTTTCGCCGTCATCGTCGTTGTCACTCGTCTGCGCTTGCTGCTGCTGTTGCCACTGCAGGATGATGTTGTCGGCATCCTCGTCCGAAATCGTCTTCTTCTTGTTGTTGGCCTCTTGAGATGACCAGTACGATCCAGGTTTCATCCAGCGACGGATGTTGTTGACCGGATATACCTCTAGAGATATACCATGCATGGTACATACATATGATATCAGGAAAGCACTGCCGGCAGCGTGCCTTGTTCTCATACATAACTTCGGCCTAGCGGTACTATGTCACAGAATAGATATGCTCACTCATGTGCATGCACACATAATGTTGAAATCGTCATAGGATATCCTGCCTGCTTGGCTTTGGCTGCGACAGCATCAGCCTGACAGAAACTTAATGGTTTCATGCTCTGTAGATTGTATATCGCACAATGCAGAAAAGCTGAACCTTGTCTTTCTTGCTCTTGTCAGCCTAGCATGAAAACTGTCGATTGCACATGACACTGCAGCAGCTGCCGGCAACAATAATGCAAGGCCCACCCAGGCTTGGTGGTCTTTGGCAGGCTGCTCCTGCAATGTTTCCCAAACCAAATTAGAAAGTGAAATGATTCCGAATCGACATCATGCATGCACGTCTGCCTCCTCTTGGCTTTGGGCTTCGCGAATCGCAGCTTTCATTGCTTTCTTCTCCATTTTCTCTTGCTTTCGGCTCGCCTTCTTATCCTCTTTCTTCTGCTGCCGCGTACGGGCGTCCTCGCGCGATCTAACAGGCCCCTCTCTCTCGGTCTCATGTGCACATGTACATATACATATACATATACATATATATATATATATATCTGTATGTATGTATGTATGTATGTGTGTGAGTGTGTGTGCGCGCGTGTGTGTGTGTGTTTTACGTGTGTGTCTGTGTGTGTGTGCTAATGTACTATATATATATATAGTTTACGATTTCCCACATGGTGGAAACTGTGTGTCTTTATATTTATATATATATATATGTGTGTGTTCACATATATATATATATATATGTATAGAGTGCTATAGCGATACGGCACATACATACCGTATACACTGCATACATTAATTTATACATAGCAGCAACTACAGGTGGTAGCAACTAACATAGCTTTTTTTGGGGTGCCTCACACACACATGCACACACACACACACACACACACGAAGATCTATATATATATATATATATACATGTATGTATGTATGTATGTATGTACATAGATACATACACAGACATATAGTATATATATATATGTACAATAATAGAGCATATTATAGGCACCTTGGTCGTCTCTGCCGCCGTGTGCTTCTCGTCCTGGATCGGGGGCAATTAAACAGGTAGACCGTGAAGGTTACGGATTAATGGGCCAAGGGGTGTTAGGGTTTCGGATTCACAAATGCACGTGTTGAGTGTAATGCAACGACCATACACCACATAGATTACACGCTCCCGGTCGGGCCTCGCTGGACTCGCTGCCCTGGGCTACCTTGATAGCCTCAAGAACTTCCCTCGCACGTTCGGGGCTCATCTTCGTCGTCTTCGGGGTGTTGCTGGCTTCGATCGAGTGCACCGTCGGTGTCCCAAAGCTAAGCTTCTTAGCAATCTTATCCACAGAGGGCGATCTTTTCAAGATCCCTGGGGAGCTCGCCGTCGTTGAGCTTGCCGAAGCTAGCCCCTCCACAGCTTTCAACTCGGCCTTCGCCTTTTTCAGCTTTCGAGGGTTGGGGCTCTTCAGCATGCCGGGATTCTTGTCTCCTGCATCGGGCTCCACGGTCGCCTTCTGTCGTAAGCGTTTGCTCGGCACAGCCATATCGTGGTGGAATTCGCGAGGAATACCAACTGCACTTGAAAAACCTGGGCCACAAATGGCCGCCTTCGATGAAGCAATGGACCCCTGTAAGTAAACATCCTCGCCTAGGTGCATCCGATCGACCGAGGAAGCCAGCAGCACATGTTTTGTAGCTTCGAAAGGCTTTTAGCTAAGTCTTCGGCCACAAACTCGGGTCGATGTGCTGCTAAAGCAACACTTAACCCGACCCAAGTGAAGCAAATTGAGTCCAATTCGGTCCAAATCCAAAACCGTGAATTTTCACGCCTTTTCACGCTACTTTCACGCTATTTTCACGCTTTCACGCTTTTGCCTGGTTATGCTATAATCTTAAGGTTTGCACCAGGATTTCGACCGAATTCCCTCCGAACTGCAAAACCTGTTGCATCCATCAAGCGAGCTCCCGGATCACACTTCTGAGATCGGCCTTTCTCGCCCATCCGATGTCCTGCAGACAGAGAACTGAAGCTTTGGGTGAACTTCGTGCTGAATTTCCCAGACTAAACCTACTTTGTATGCCAGGACACGCGGTGCAGTATATGCGTTATAAGGTTAGGTGTTGTTACATGGGATCCTCGAGGTTCTTATTCGGGCCTATAGAGGTATAACATGCCTGCATACACCGAGTTGAGGGTTCCAATTGTTCACGGGGCTTGTAAGGCATCGTACCGAAACCAATCCCGGAGTTCGACAAGACCAAAGCACTTATCCCGGCCGAAGCTCGCAGAAGCATAGATTTTAAAACCCGAAATTGAGCCCCAAACCTAACCCGGTGTACACTAAACCCTAGAACTACTTAACCTATATATACAGCACATGATCCGTGAACTCGCGCGAGAGAACACGTGAAAGCGTGAACCCGTGAATCCGTGAATGGGATAGACCCAGGGAGCCCGTGAACCCGTGAATGCGATTCAACCAAAGAACCCGTGAATCCATGAATAGTGACAAGAGAACCCGTGAATCCGTGAATGCAATGAACCAGGGAACCCGTGAATCCGTGAATACTGACAAGGGAACCCGTGAATGTGTGAATTGCATGAACCCGGCTCCGTGATTTCACCAGTAAGATAAAGAACTCGATCTGGAGTATCATATATATATATATATATATATGATTAGAATATATATATATATATATATATATAGATACATACATATATATATATATATACACATAATATTATAATACAATATATATCATACATAATCTGGATTATCATATATAATAGAATATGTATATAAAGACAATATATATATATATATATATTACAGGAAATTAATGCATGACTCGATCAACCGGTGCCCTGAAAACTATACTTCAACCCTCGGCCAATAGTTTACCCGCAGTGTCGCGCGTGTTGATTCTTGCCCCCGGACTATGATCTATAGGTTTGCTCTCCCGTTAACCTATACCCATGGCTCAAAGTTGTGTAGACAAGTCTAGCCATACAACGATCGACACCAGTAGTGTAGTATAGCAACTAGCAAGGCCACGTGGTGCTATAGGCAACTAGTTCTGGCAGCAGTGGCAGCGGCAGTGGCAGCGGCAGTGGCAGCGGCAGTAGTTATATATGTAGTGGCGGTAGCATAAACTCGGTACATCTATGTTACATATATATGATGCGCGCATGCACATGAAGACGTCGTCGTTCACAGATCCAGGCAACCATGCTGTCGTCCAACGATTTGTTGCAACTTGCACAGTGGCCTGAGCAATCTTGCAGCGGCCTCCGTCAGGGACTTTCAAGTATTCGTGTTAGTAGGTAGCAGTAGCAGTAGCAGTAGCAGTAGCAGTAGCAGTAGTAGTAGTAGTAGTAGTAGTAGTAGTAGTAGTAGTAGTAGTAGCAGTAGCAGTAGTAGTAGTAGTAGTAGTAGTAGTAGTAATAGTAGTAGTAGTAGTAGTAGTAGTAGTAGCAGTAGCAGTAGTAGGAGTAGGAGTGGGCAGAAGCAGAAGCAGCAGGAATAGGACTAGTCATATTCGTATTAGCAGTACCAGTATCATGTAGCAGCAGCAGTATAGCTATAGGAGTAGTCCTAGTAGCAGTAGCACAAGCAGCAGCAGGAATACTAGTAATCATAGTGACATATAGTGTGGCAGTGGCAGCGGCAGTAGCAGCAGTAGTAGTAGTACTGCTACCAGTACAAATAGTAGTAGGTAGTAGAAGTAGCAGTAGTCGTAGTAGTAGTAGTAGTAGTAGTAGTAGTAGTAGTAGTACTAGTAGCAGTAGTAGTAGTAGTAGTAGTAGTAGTAGTAGTAGTAGTAGTAGTAGTAGTAGTAGTAGTAGTATATAGCTAGTACTAGTGCTATAAATTACGAGAACGACTTAATAGATAATCGTACACATATACAGAGAGCTCCAGAGGCTGGAAAGAGAGAGAGAGAGAGAGAGAGAGAGAGAGAGAGAGAGAGAGAGAGAGAGAGAGAGAGAGAGAGAGAGAGAGAGAGAGAGAGAGAGAGAGAGACAAAGAGAGAGAGGGAGAGAGAGAGAGAGAGAGAGAGAGATAGAGACAAAACCTGGAAGAGATAGAGATGGAGACGGGGGGTAGACCCATCGCTCGATTCCCTGTTTTGCAACCGCATCGTATAGGTTCGCCGACAGCTAAACTCTGAGACCGCCAGGAATCATTCAGTCCATACTCTCAAAATCGAACTGATCCTCGTGATTTGTTTCTTCGGGCCACTGCTCGTTCCAGGGGTGAGATTCCAGACTGAGACAGGCCTCCTCTCTGATTCCATCGGTGTTAATCTCGGAGTCATTCCCCAATGCGATGGGAGCCATGTGTTCTACATTCCCTTGTGAGGAAGTCCCTGCTTGGGAGCTCGAAGCCCCCGTACTAAGTTGATCTCCTCGGTTCATAGGATCAGCCGCCGTCACAGAAACCTCACGTTGATATGTACGAGACTGACAACGGCGTGAGTGCACACGTCCCCGGCTCTCGAAACATGTAGAGCAGCAGCAACTGAAGCCCACACCGGCTGTGCGGTTGCATTGTGTCGTGTAGCATTCGCACTCAGTGTACCGCATCTCATTTTGGTAGATGTTCCGCAGGCGGCACTGCATATGCAAGCATCGTCTTGTATGGTCTCGTCCACGTGTGCTACGGCATGCAGTACAACAGTGTCTGTGACCGTTGACAGCATAGCGTAGACGACAGGTCGGAGTAGAACAGTATGCCCAGTCAACATCTCCAGCCGAGGCCATGGCCAGAAAAGCTAGCGGGGGCACACACTCCCCAGTATTGGCAGCTAGATTTAGTTTTGCTACTATTTCCAGTACATACTACATAGTACCATGTTTGACTATATTGCTACTACTACTACTACTACTACTACTACTACTACTACTACTACTACTACTACTACTAGTAGTACTCGTAATAGTACTAATACTGCTACGACTACTACTACTAATAATAATAATAATAACAATAATAATAATATTAATACTAGTTACTACTACTACTACTACTACTACCACTACTACCACTACTACTACTACTACTACTACTACTACTACTACTACTACTACTACTACTACTACTACTACTACTACTACTACTACTACTACTACTACTACTACTACTACTTCTACTACTACTACTACTACTACTACTGCTACTACTATACACATAACTTGGGAGTATTCTAACAGTTGCAGATCATACATGCAAGCAAACACAAACATGTTCATTCATAGTCCTTAAGCCATGATAGAGGAGCGTTCACATGCATCCAGGCTACTAGCGAGCGAGGCACCTGAATTCTCGAACCCCTTCCCTGCCCACAGTCCTTGACTTCGCGGGCCTTCTTGTGCGCGAGGTTCGTCCTGGAAGCTAGGATCGATTTGTGCATGCATCCCTCAAAGCACACCCGCAAAGAAAATCAATTGAGACTAGGGGCCGTTTCTCTTGAATGCAGCTCGCTATTTCGTCCTGCCGTTGCACGAAATGCAAATTTGAGGGTGTATGCTGAAACTCTTCAATCACTATTATTGCATGATCCTTCTTGCTGATGAAGAGCTCAGCCACAGCTCTCCCGAACATAGTCGGATAATGTTGTGAAAGTTTCAGGTCGTGGGAACCCGTCACCTTCTCCACATGGCCATCTCGAGTCCTGCTTGGGTTCCGTTGTTTAACGCGCGACATGCACTCCGGATCCTGCCTCGTTACCATATCCGCTTCCCACACCGCGTTGGCTGGGAGTGGTAGCTGCAATTGTCCCACGAATCGGTAATTGCTGTAAAGGACCGTAGGTTTGGGACCTTGCATACTTCGCAACTGACATAAATTGTAAATACAGCAGCTTCTCTAGAACCGCCGCAGAATCTCAGATGCCTACTGATACCTCCATAGGAGCCCAGCCACACGAAGGCCTGTCAACATGGCTGGTACAACCGTGAAGAATCCACATGCATGACCCATGCATGCAGCCTAGCCTTCCAAACATCGAAGCGGTCACACAACCATTGGTAGCTGGGGGCCAACTCCAACAAACTCGATTGAGGTTGTTCCACACACCACGGCACACCAAGCTCCGACAGGAAGTACAGTAGGATGACCAATCGATTCACCATGATATTCCTTGGGTGCACCGCTGGAAAGCTTCGGAGACGAGGGTTTGTTGCGGCAGAAAATGGTATTGAGGGCTTCGATCAGGGTTTGTGGAAGTCTTTAGAGATAAATGTTTTTTTTGTTGGGCTTTGTTTCCGGACTCTGTGGGTTCAGGGAGCACTAGAGCGGCCTTAAGGGTTATAGGTTTTAGATGAAGCGGCTTGGGCTTAATTTAAGTTCGTTTCAGTCACCTTAATCGCATGCACCAAAGCAATTACACGAGCATGGTCCCAAACCTACGTTAGGCAGGTCTCTGCATGCAAACCCTTTTTCGGCAGAGCCTTTCCCCGGAAGCGCCGAGTAGCGAGAAACACATGATGTTTCGTGATCGGTTCGATTTCGTCTATCAAAACTGCTGCACAGCTATA